CATGAAACGGTCATCCATAAAATGCATTGCTGTTCTGTTGTAAGTAATCTTAAAGATTTCTAAATGCATCTACTTTCGGAAGGCCAAATAAAGTGCTTTTGCTTTCGCCTAGAAACACACAGCGTCTCCCTGACATGGCTGCTTCAACACTAACTGCGGTTACTGTAACCACGCCTTCTTTCTTTGCGTGCACATTTGGGCGGCATTATGCAGATATTTCCACATAGTGAGGTAGATATGTGGGGGCGTGTTAGAACGAGCCGTTTTAGGGGGGCGTGGCAGAGTCTTAACTTTGATAAAGAATATCTCTTTGGTTTTGAGACTTTAGTCTTTGCAACTTCAGGGATCTTATCTATGCACAATCAGCTTGTAACACTCCAAAGAGAAAGGAAAACTTCAAATCGCATCATATGACCCCTTTAATTAAAATACCAACTTACACAGACAATAGCATTGTAATGTTCCCATCACGTTATTACATAAAATGTATATTTCTTGATTTAGCATGAAATGGAGGAATCTAACATTATTTTGGGGAACATACACAGGTTTTCTGTAGTCTCCTCTCGGTAAGAAATTGTTCAGTGGATATGTTGTCTTGTAGAAACATATTGTCGCCGCTAGGGGGTGATCTTTATACATTTACGTTTCATAATTTCACTGTTTGTGGAGGGTAAATGTTGCTGCTGTGGAGTCCAGGCTTGAACATGTAATGAATTGTTCAATAAACGTATCCAGATACAAAAGTAGCATTGGATTTACCAAAGTATCTTTCTGTCTGCCTATATGCTTTGAATTAGCTAAAAAGTAAAAAAGCAGGCCTACATGTTTACCTCAACATATAAATATTCTAACAAAGCATATCAAATGTAAAGTTTAAAGTGTAAATTATTTGATTACACTTTACTTGTATGGTTCCCTTTAGACATTTCTGTTGACTATAAGTAACTTTGCAACTACACATCATCTAACTCAGAGTATAAGACTGTTAGGTTATGGTTAATAAGTTGATATGTACATGCAAGTTTATTCAGTAGAATGTCTGTTGAGGGACCATAAAAATCACAGATATTAAATATCAAAAATATAAATAGCAGACATTAAGCAGACAGGCTACTAACTACTCTAATGACTTGTAGTTACTTATAGTCACCCGAATGTCTAAAAGGGACCATCAAAATAAAGGGTTGCCAGATATTTTTTATTGTGTTGTATTTATTTATTTTTTTACTCACAAACTTATTAAAAAGTATTTAAAAGCCTCATTGAAGAGTTTTCAGATTTTTGCTTCATTATAAAGTACATAGCAAGCTGGCATTATCAGTTGATCTTGTTGATAGTGCTTTACTATATACTAATGACAGTTCACTTGCAGCAGTCTTAGGTTAGGAGCACACACACTGACACACACAAATACATTGTAGAGACTTTCCATTGACTGACCATTGTTGTGTTTATATTGCGCTAATGATTTATATCCCTAAACAGAACCCTCAGACAAACCGTTCTGCATTGTTTCATTTTTATTAAGAAAACATTAAATCGAATGATCCACACAGGTTTTGATATTCTTGTGGAGACATTTAGCCACATTTAGCCATGGCATTTAGACATGATTATATATGAAATTATCGATTAACACAATCTAATTGATCAAAAACGTCTTAAAAGAGTTATTTTTAATCCATATATGCATTCCAGAAGGTGAAAGTTACATATGCATTCAAAACTTTCATTTACTTGTTTGCCTAATACCCCTAACAAAACTGTGGCAGTAACAGTCATGGTATCAGATGGCAATTTCAAAATACACAGCAGGCTATAGTATACTGAAATTCTTCTTCTATATTCAGAAAGAAAAGAAAAATGTGTGCACATACACACTCTGTGTGTATGTGCTGTACATGTGGAAGAATTGACAATAAAGCAGATTTGACTTGACTTGAAAAAACATGTTTGTAACATGGTAGCTTTTGTCACTTTGGCATGTCAGTCTTGTTTTGTGATTTTGCTGTTTTGAACCCACGTCTATTTAGCAGGTTATCCAAAGCACCCCGCAGACTGACAGACTGACAACAGGTGAGTTATAGTAACACGAACTTCCAAAAAGTCACTCCATCGTTTTTTTTTATATCAATGGTCAACACCTTGAGTTTTACGTTCCATAACGCGGAACATACGTGTGCGCCGGGTGAGCATGATTTCACAGACATAGGCAGCGCCTCATACGCGTGGCGCAGTGAGCGCACAGAATAGGTCCTTTGAGTTTGTCAAAGCCACGCGCCCGGCGCGCGAACCCCGAGCAGGGGATTCATGCAGGGGCGGGTCTTCCTTTGGGAGCGTGCTGCCCAAAAGGGGGTGGAGGTGTGGCGCACGTGTAGAAAAGGGAGAGCAAGTTGCTTTACCCTCAAATCATTCGCTGAACAGGTGAATCGCTTCTTGCGAGCCACGCGAAAGGCACGAGAGCGGCGCATTACTCGCAAACTCCCCATCTATTTATCTATTTATTTCCCGCGACATGGAGGCAGCTGTCATCGCTACGACGCAAATGACTCAACATGTGTTTTACCAGCCTTTTTCGGAGACCCTCGTACCTCAAGCGAAGCAGGACAGGGAGTGTAAAGTGCTGAAGAGACAGCGCTCGAGCAGCCCAGAGCTGCTCAGGTGCAAGAGGAGACTGACCTTCAACGGACTCGGCTATACCATCCCTCAGCAGCAGCCCATGGCGGTGGCCAGACGCAACGAGCGCGAAAGAAACCGCGTCAAGCAGGTGAACATGGGCTTCCAGACGCTGCGCCAGCATGTGCCCAACGGAGCGGCGAACAAGAAGATGAGCAAAGTGGAGACGCTGCGCTCGGCGGTGGAGTACATCCGAGCGCTTCAGCAGCTGCTGGACGAGCACGACGCCGTGTCTGCCGTGTTGCAGTGCGGCGTCCCGTCTCCGTCGGTCTCCAACGCGTACTCGGCGGGCTCGGAGTCTCCTCATTCAGCTTATTCCTCTGATGAGGGCAGCTACGAGCATCTCAGCTCTGAGGAGCAAGAGCTGCTGGACTTCACCACATGGTTCGACAGATATGAATCAGGTAGGGGCAGTTTTTAAGCGTTCTCCACTTTTACAGACCCAGGGGCCCATAACTAAGTGGCCCCCAGTTAAAAAAAGCTATTTTACTCTCTAACACTTTATTATAACAACATAACATTATCCTCAGAGGGTTCAGAATACTCTTTTACCCGAATGGACTGAATTGCAGTAATGTTTGTATATGCCTGTGACTCATAGCTGTTTTATTCTATTACAGGTGCTTCACTCTCTACTAAAGATTGGTGCTGAAGGGATCGGTCCAGGTCGGTGATACGCTGCCTTCTGGTGCTTATAAAGGACTTGAGTTCATTGATTGAGCACTGGACACACAGACGGCATTGTCCAGCAATGCACACAGATGCAACACTCTCAAGTTTCCAAATGTTAGAACTGCACAGGACTTGAGGCGTATGAGGAAGTCTTTTCTGCTGACTTGTGTCTTGTCATCCCACATTCAACATTTGCCCTGTTGATGCAATAATGTGTGAATGCAACTGAATGAGCCAGTTCGTCCCTTCCATGTTGTACAAATAACGAGGTAACCAGTTGTAGTTAAACGCATGAGGAAAAATAGTATCAGGTCCCATATACGGCGTCTGTTAGGGGATACACTAACGTTACACTAGGAAGCCCTCAGGCAACCTGTATATTTTGTGCTAGATATGTGACAACATTTTTGTACTGGATGAATAACTTTTGTATCAAAGTGTGCACTTGTGTGTTTTTATACAAACTTGTGTATATGCAATTTTTTATGAAGAGAAACCCTATTTTATGTAAAATAAAGACTTAATTTATTCATTTAATTGTCGTGTGTGTTTAAAATCAACTGACTAATAACAGATATGCTTTTGTAAAGCCTGTAAGTTTGACAATTGAGACTCAGAATTGCACTTTACACAAACGTAGATACTTATAAATAATGTGTAAAATACATAGCACTGATTTACTTTGAAATAACCACTACAAACACACTGAAACAATTGTACAAACCCTTTTTACCTAGAAATTGCTAGTAAATTTCACAGTCAATTACAAAAAACACATTGAACACAATGTGAAATTTCAAAGCAGAAATCTGAAATAGTATTTTCTTGTAAAACATACTCCAATAGAGAGAAGTGAGAAGTTCTTCATAAAAGAAGTGGCTTTGAGAAGTGTCAACATGGTTTAATTAATGGAGTAATTTACTGTATAACCACAAAGGAAGGTGGCAGGCAGCTGTAGATGGGACACAACCTTGGGATGCAGTATATGTGAACAGTTAATTTTTAAGCAACAACAAAAAGTTCGGTAACACTTTACTTGAAGGGGTGTGCATAAGACTGACATGACACCTTCATAATCATGACATGACACATGTCATGAATATGAAGGAGGTTTTATGCATGTTTATGACAACTGTCATTAAGTGTCATTCGCTCAGTTATGTCATTTTTAATGCAAATATGACATTATTTGACCTAACCCTGACCTAACCCTACCCCTAACCATAGCCCATTACAAAGACATCTCAAACAATGTCATCTTTGCATTAAAAATTACATAACTGAGCGAATGACACTTAATGACAGTTGTCATAAACATGCATAAAAACCCTTCATATTCATGACATGTGTCATGTCATGATTATGTAGGTGTCATGTCATGATTATGAAGGTGTCATGCCAGTCTTATGCACACCCCTTCAAGTAAAGTGTAACCAAAATATTTAACAAAACTGCTCCTACTCCAACTTACATTCAAATTGCATTAAACTGACTTTAAAAATCAAGTTTTAAAAATCAAATAAATTTTAACTTATAAAAAAAGTTGAAAGTGCTCAACTTATTTTGATGAGTTCAAGTAATGCAAAAACATAAGTTGCCATGACTTACTGATCATATTATTTTTACAGTGTAGAGAAATTACCATAGCAGATGCTAGAGGCTTCCCAGGAGGTGTTGGTGAAAAAGCAGTGATGCTATTTCCTATCGACAGCTTCATGTAAAATTCAGCAGGGCTCCTACAAGCCACCCCCTCACTAAGCCCTCCCCTCAACGGCCCCATTCAACCTTCCCTTCTCTTTTGCAGCCTTCCTCCTCAGTCTGCCCTCATCACAATAGGTGACTGCCACAAGAGAGACAGTTGCCAGAAACACTTTGCCACACCTTCCCCTTGTTGTTCTCCCTTCTCAATGCACAGAAACACATGAGCTTAGATAAAAAGCCAAGTCCTTGTGTGAACAGGAGCTTCTCCAGATGGCAGTGAGGGAAGGGAGGAACAGGGAAAAAAAGAAACACCTTGTATATGCTCACAGGGTGAGAAAAGATCCGGATTTGATCAATTGACACTGAATGAAATGACAATTTCAGTGGCTAGGCTGCTATTATTTCACAGATCAGAGCATTTAAATATGACCTGCCTGTTCAGTCAGTGTGCTTTTCTGAGGAATGTTGTCCCTGCTTTTTGTTATTCCTGCCAGCTTGATCAAGGTTGTGGTCCTTTTATTAGTCTGCACGCTCCCTCTGCTGGCTGCTCGGGGGGAAATAAAGGAAGAAAGATGGGGGGCTCAGTCAGCAAATGTATGTGTGAGGGGCCTGGGGGCAAACAAGCTGTGTCTGACTGGTAAGGAGAGACCTGAAATGAGGCACTAATAATATGTGAATCAGCATTTCCAATGGGTTTATGGTGGATTCTCAGTCAGACTCTAATAGAGTCATTAAAATGAGGGGTCAAGTGCTCCCTGTGCTGACTGTAAGTATCAGTTAGATTTACTGACTCTCAGAGACACTTTATAGGGGATAGTGCATGGCACTGTGCATTGTTTTCCTATTTCTTTGTGTCCTGTGACGTAAACCTAATTTATTTGATCGGAAAATAAATTAGCACTATTCTTCAATGAATTCATCCACTGCTTGGCTCTGGCTGTCTCTCGCTGCCTCTGATAGTCTGTCATCGCAGTCCTGCTCTCAGCAGACATGAGCATCTGGGTGTCTTTTTGAAGTTCCCAGGTGCGAGCTCACAGGCAGCTGCACTTCCTCTCCTGATGGTATCTATGAAAAACGGAGAAGGATGATCAGTTGAAAGTCCTTCACACTCTCGTCAAGTTGTTTTTACAGCATTACTTTTACTATAATTCTTTCTCCCCACTCTACCGTAGCATCCCTCACACCGAGCTGTCTTTAAAAGCAGACAGATGGACTAAACAGCAGGTAGATAAATGCTGATAGTGCCTTGACGAGCCCTCAGACAAAACAAAGGGTCTTGTGAAAGACAGCGCTTAAATGAGGCAAAGCAGCTGCTTCCTAGGGGCTGCGAGAATTGGTTTGTTTCATCCCTTTTGTGGCCTCTACATCCACTCTGTAATTTGCCAGTCAGCCCCAGTTTAATAGCATTTAAGAACTGCTAATATGGCAGCATTTTGCACTTGAGTGATGCTAATAACCCTAAACCTTGTCGGTTGCGAAAAAGAATGGACCATTGAAAAGCAAAGTAGCATTTTATTCAAATGAAACTCTTTCAAATTAATTCAAAAATCTGCAGTTCTGTGGTGCAGGTAATTAAAGATAGATTAATGATCAGGCTAATGCAGTCGTCTTCCCAGTTCAGCACCTTGGAGAGCGCCACCTTCTCAGCACAAATGTAGGGCAGTGATTTTCAGCACCACGGACAGTGGTCATCAGATCTTGCTGGAAAGCCAATATAGTTGGTGTGCTGTATTAACTGACATGCTCAGATGAACTGCTCCTCCATGTACCTGGCGCTCACCGCTCAGGGATAGTTTGTCTGCTCCTCTCGCAGTTCCTTGGCATAAGTCCTTTGCCTCTCCACTCTCTAGGCTAAGAGTGATTGAAGAAACCTCCCAGTGCTATTAGACCACTGCACTCAATTGCCTCATAAGTCTCCGCCCTGACCACTGACTCAGTGTAGCATTAGATTATGTGATACATCACCAAAAAAAAAGGAAAGTCTTATACTTTTCCTTTTAGTTTCACCCAGTGTGCTCTGGAATGTTCTTGAACTTGTCCTTGACAAAGGGTCCTTGTCTCTTTACAGTAGTAACTGTCATCCACTTGGGAAAGAACAAGCTGTAGGCTGTCTTTCTTCTGAAGGAAACGGAGTAAGTGAGCAGCAAGGCTTTTGTTTGGGAATTTACTTTTGGCCCTTTAGGGGCAATGAGACGCCCCAGACAGGCTAAACACAAGGTGTGTTGTGATTCAGGAAAGGTACTTTCAGGGGTAAGCTCATGGCCAGGGATTATGCTGAAGGAACGTGCATAGCTTTCCAACCCTCTAAGCAGGCCATGGAACAACACTGAACTGGATTAGGAGCTTCACTTACCCTCTCATCAGGTCGGAATTCTTACAATTTCTAGCCAACCTCGCTATTCTCATTCTGTTGTCATGAGAACATTTTCTATGCACGTTGTTAGATCATTTGTCATGATAGATAGATAGATAGATGATAGACAGATATAGATCTTGTGAAACAATGTGAAATGTGAAAGTCTCCTTGTTATAGGTTACTTACACTGCACTTATTACTATAGTAATGACTGTAAATTATGCAACTAACCCTAAACCAAACAAGTACATGTTGTTCATTATTATTATTGCTCAGTACTTATTTGTGTACTTAGTTAAATAATTGTACGCATGTATTTGTGTCCGTGTGAGTCTGTCCCAGATCTTGTTCCCATTCCATTCCTCTCTCTTTCTCACCTTGATTTCCGGTCTTCTATTTCATGTATCCATAAAACAAGGCCAAATAATAAAAAATAAACACCACTTTTACAGCCATAAACATGCAGACAGACATCTTAGGCTGTTGTGTTACAAAACATGTCTCGAGACCAATGCATTCCGTTCTTTTCTTTTACGCTCTGTCTAGCTGTTTTTAATGCAACAATGTGTCTTATTTAAAACCCCATAAGAAACTTGTCTGATCGGGGAACCAAAAACTTAACCTAATTATACAGGGCTTGGGGTCTAGCAGATTTTAAAACTATATAGTTTTACACATCCCTATTGCTGGTTCTCTGCTGACGGCTGCCGTAAATTCCTCTATGATGCTTTTACAAGCTTCAAACGTCTCTGTGTCTGACAGAACAGCCCTTGTCTGGCAACACATCCACAAGTGAGCAAAATCATCATGTAGAACACATTATGTGACACTTGGCAGATGCTACACTCCTGTTAGAGGTGAGTTTTAGAAGCAATTGTTTGCCAATCTCAAGGATATTCTTCTAATTTGGTCTATATCCATAGACCTTTCAGATGAAATCACTTTAATTAGGCAAATATGGCTAATGAAGCAGGCCATTGCCTGGCAGTAGGCTAATGTTTCAGCATTTGTTTTCAGTGGAGCGATATTTTATTTTTATTTTTACCAGGTGATCTGACAAGTGCAGGATACAGAATACAGGGCTAGTTCATGTTATCAGAAATCTGACTGGCTGTCAATTTTCCAGCTAATTTATCCCATCTGTTATT